CAGGCGAATGACAACACCTGCAGGATGACAAAGAGCAAGGCCAGACCAAAGTTCTTCCACTGTAGAAGGCAAAGTGAGTTTAAAGATAATCTAAATGATTCATCACCAACTACAGCTTCAGTTCTAGAGAAAAGCTTTTTACATTTTTATCTTGTATGTTTAAGATGTCTGGAGATTCAATGGGCCAAAGCTACACACATGCTGCCGCATTGGCAAATAAGGATTAGAATGAAAAATACAAATGTAAGCCTGTATTTCTTTATTTGGTCATGTATTTGTTATATTTTATTTATTTAAATGTCTGTCTTTTATTTTGGCTTTGTTTTAAACCTGAATTATTCTTTTCTTGATTTCTTAAAGAAGGTACACAGTGTAGTTTTTACTCCCATCAAGTGTTGAGATCCCTTGAGATCCCCTTTTGCAGTCTACTTCTACCACCAGCACTATGGAAGCCTTTGAGGACAATATGTCGTCTTTGACAATGGTCCCCAACTCTCAGTCATTCACCGGACCGCCAAGGAAAGAATCTTTCAGTTTGGTAAATGACCGGATCTCCCATACTGTACATCTTGGTCACTTGACAAGAAACCCTAACCCTCATGGGAAATGTAAGTTAGTGGTGAGTTAGATGTAGAATAAGGACTACAAAGTGCTTAGCAAATACTATTTAACAGCTATAAAACCATAAATGAAACACTCATTGGCAGTTATTTAATTAGCAGGTAATTAATGAGGGCTGATCTAAAGTGTGGCCATATCTTCATCACACAAATCCATGATGGTGAGTGTAGTTCTTACCCAGAATGCAGCACAGAGAGTCAGCACCAGACATGTCTGCAACCACAGAAACATCAGCTTTAGGTTCTCAGAAGAAACTCAGAGGATAGAATGTTGACCACCACCACCACCACCTTTTCATTCACTACTACTGTAGCCACAGCTGCCCTGGGGCACACTGACAGTTGGTGCCACCACCAACCATTCAAGCACCAGACTCATTCTAATATGGCCTCATTCATTATGTTCTGTTCTAAACGTTTCTCACCAGCATGATGGCGGTGGCCAGGGCTCTGGTCTTGTCACACATTCTTTTCAGTTGCTTCATGGGGCCCATCAGGAACATGGTGCTGAACACATTAACAATAATAATATCACATTTGGTCATGAAAAAAAACATTAAGTAAAATAGCATTTCTAAGACGTTGACGTCTTATTGTACACTACGGACCAGTAAGGATCCAGACCAGTGGGGGCGGGTCCCGGCTCAAAAGTGGCCAAAATGACATGTGCTGACATGCTTGCAATACCACCCCGGGCCAATGGGGGGGTGGACCCGGAATAAGAAATAGCCAATGGTAACACATAGCATTAGCTGACCTCTCGAAAACGTCTTTACAAGATCAGTGTTGCCAACTTAGCGACTTTGTCGCTAGATTTAGCGACTTTTCAGACCCTATAGCGACTTTTTTTTTTTAAAAGCGACTAGCGACAGATCTAGACAAAGCATTAAAATCATTAAATGTTGTTAATGTTGAAATTATTTTTGTACATTTGTAGTTCTAAACATATTTAGGGTGTTTTTTCCTCACTTTTGTCTCTCCCACGACGTTATTCCTCTCTCCTACAGCGTCCGTTACAGTCATTTTATTTGCAAATTAGGCGATGACGTCATTTAGCGACTTCTAGCGACTTTTGGGACAGCCAATAGCTACTTTCCTTACTGAGGAGTTGGCAACACTGTACAAGATGGTCCAAAAGTTGGCTCTTGGCCCAAAGCTCCGTTCCACACGTGTGTCAATGCTGAGGGGGGTGAATTTCTTTGGATCACTCTAGTTTAGTTGTTGTGAATTTTTGAAGGCACTCGTTAAATGAATGGGGCTCGCGCCGGCTGACGCATGCGCAGATGCGTTTTTTTGTCGGCGGGACCACTCGCGGCCATTTTGGATAGCTTCAGTAGAGCACATTTTTTGGCCCATTAGTTCGAACGGCGGAGATAGGCGTGACTACGTCCGTTAATATTTACAGTCTATGATCCAGACCATAAACACTATAAGTCATATCTTTAACGTTGATATCAAAGTCACATCTATAGATATAGATACATTATTGATCCCCGAAGGAGAACGTCAGGTGTCCAGTAGCAGCAGAAACACATCCATCCATACAAACAAAACAAATGAATAGATAATTCTAAAAAAACGCAAACAATAGAATTAAAATGCAACATCACTCAAAGTGATAGTCTGTAACTCTAAATGAATTACAAATTTTAAGAATTGTATTAAATTGACCTCTTGGCCTTAAATGTTGATATAAAATTAGTCATTTTATTAATTCTAATATTACAGGGAAGTCCCGCCTTCCCTTCTCTTAGCTATAGCTCAGAATCCACGATGCCGTCCACGTTAACCAATCGAGTCATGCCAAGGGCTGTCAATCATCAGCGCTGATGCTCGCAGCTGCGCGCATGGTCAGTTGTTTGTTTTCGCGGAGCCTCCGAATCAAGCCTCCATTAGGCTCTGAAACTACATGAAAACTGAAAAAAGAATTCTGAACATCTGCGCTGAGGTAATCATTTATATACTGAACCTATATCCATAATCAGATCCTCTGCAGATGTGTCCTATAATGTGCAATTAATGATAATAGCTTCTTCCGGGTTTGCCGCGATCGCTTTGTGCATTAAAACACTATTTTTTTCATGAAAACGTTAACAAATAATTCTGAAACCTCCGTGCATGTGTATTAATAATGTATATGTTTAATATGTTCTCTCATTAACATTTAAATGTGTTACGGAAACGTAGGTGTAGACCAATCAGAAAGGAAGGGGGAGGGAGCTTGCGTTGTTTTTTTTCAAAATCAACCTCTCTCTCTTTCTGACAAACTCCAGACAATCACTTTAAGGTCACAGCTGCAGAGATGGAGGAGCCGCTTGGTCTGGACCTTTGCTCTAGTCCAAAGTACAATGCTGGATGCTTTATTGGAATTTTTCAAAAAGTTAGCACGGTTTAGAACATGAATCCTCTCTGCTCCGGTCTAGACCAGTGCAAAACCATGAACACTGTACTGTAGCAACATCAGGTAGAAAAAAAGCAAAAAAAAACAATTGTAAAGCACAAAACAAGAACTGTTTCAGAGCTACTCTACTTTGGACTTGCTGCCGTTTCCAGTGCATTCAAGAGTAAAGAAGGCTGAAATCCAAGTCACATCTTTACCACTGATATCAAAGTGACTTGTCTGGAATTAGATTTGTAACAAAAACAATGTACCACTTGTTCGATTGGGCCAAAGACTGCATTCTGTGTGATAGGAGAGACTGAATGTGACAGTGTGACTTCACCATTTACATGGAAGTCAATAGGAGCCAGAGAGGGGCCAAACTTCACCATGAGCACTTCCCTGTTGGGCTTCATTGAGCTCTTGGATTAGCATTGTCCATCTGTATACAGTCTGTGTTAGCATTGTCCATCTGTTTAGAGTTCATGTTAGCATTGTTCCAGACAGACGATGCTTATTATAAAAGACAGTCCTCTTCAAACTGTGTAAATGTAAAACAACAAACTGAATAGTAGAATGACCAGGTTATTTCTCCTTAAATGACAGATTCATATAAAAGTGCTGCTCCCAGAACTAACCTCCCCAGTGTGCACAAGTTTCCAAATGTATAGAAGACGATGAAGAGGGTGATTCCGATTTTGGGGAGAAAGAGGCAGCCGACCCCCTGCAGAGACAAAACAATTTTCATATGAGGAAAGAACAGAACAGAACAACGTAAAGCACTTTAGGAAACTTGTAACTGTGGTGGAAAATGTCCATAATGTTGTATAATATCCTCACTCTTTCGTTTACTTGTGAATGAATAATATTCTATAATGAAACCATCAGTCAGACCTTTCAGAAAGAGATCTCTACTGTGAATCCAAACATGTTCTATTATTATACAAGGTTCGAGTCATAAAATTAAAACAATTAAAGATGCATATCTTTAATTTGACTTAACCGTTTTATTCCTGTCCCTGCTTTAACACACGTGGATGGAGCCACCAGTCTCCAGTTGCTCTAACTGACTGTGCTCTTCCCGAAGTTCACAATCATCTCCACTGTCTCCATCATAAAAAGAAAAAAGAACATTCAAATTCACGCTGTTGATAAATGTATTCTGGCGATTGTTTTGTGTGGATTCTGTGTGTTTTGCATATTTTAGGCTTGTCCCTGAATAAGTTTTGTTGGACTGCACTTGGAGCGGGTCATAACATCCTGAGACTGTGTTGAAGAGCCTGCCTCGTCTTCGTTACTGTCGGTGTGAAGAGAGTCACGCATTGTGGACGTGTGAGTCTGCTGTGCCCTACAACGATGTGCCTCCTATTGTTTTAACCAGTTTCTAGATGTTTGCATGACTCTTTTTCTAACATTTGGAGCAACTTTAAAGATCACCTTTAAATCTCTGAATCTCATTTCCATTAACTTTAGCCGAAGTTTTGAAAGGTCTGAGTCATTCTACAGTCAGACACCAGTTACAATACAATCACATGCATTTCCCTAACAGAGGCTGTTCCTTCACCAACAACAGAGGCTGTTCCTTCACCAACAACATAGCCAAACAGTTTAAACACAGGGAATACAATAATAACAAAGACATTGATGGACCCATTGGTCCATTAGGAGCAGAAAATATTTGATGAACCTCAAGGCCCATATTGAGGGAGCTCCCACGGACTGAAGCTGTTGATCCAGGACTGAGGCTGTAGATCCAGGACTGAGGCTGTAGATCCAGGAAACGGACTCTTGGAAGGCCAAGGCTAAAGTATACCCTGATTTATATTAAAGATTGAAAATGTATATTAAACATTGAACACTTAGACTTAGGAGTGTTCCCACTTATAATGATAATACATGCGTAATTATAGGCCAAAACAACAGAGCCTCAGTTTTACAAAGAGTTCATCCATTGATCGGTGCACCACAGAGTTTTTTTAAAAGTCAAAGGTCATAATTCAATTAAATGACAAAAAAATAGCAATTCTGTAAACATTGATACCTTCCCAGATATCAGGATGAGGCTTCCGTTTCTGCAGCTTTTAGACATTGATAATAGACATCTGAACTCTGGAGCTTGTGGAGGATCTTTAACTTTAGAACGATAAAGAAGCAAATAATACGAGTGTAATGGTGTAATAAAAGGGTATAATCATCCCAATTATATATTTTTATTGTTTCATAGCTTTGTTTTTGTTGATACAATCACTCACATTGGCTTCAGCCTTTGTAGAATGTCTAGTTCTTTTTATGTTTTGAGCTCGAATGGACTGGCCCTGGTGGATGATTAGTTCTACGTCATGGTGTTACGTCCCTTAGGACTTCGCTAGTGGGATATCACTCGTGACCCCCAGGTCACACGCCAGAGAGATCAAAATAATTTGCTCCAATCACCAGCCACCCTCCTCTATAAATGCCCCTGCACAAGGCCGCACCCCCTCTTTCACTCTGGCGCCGTTTGAGATCTACCACAGTACTTACTTCATTCTGAGATGTCTTCCTTGTTCGTCCGAGTTCCCTTCGCCCTCCGGCGTTGGACGTCGTCGCTGGATCCAGACGGTGGAGGACTTCACCTCTGTGGGTGCCACCACTCGAGGAAGGAGGAGGATGCAACCCACGTTGTGCCCGCGGACGGACCCGTTCGTCCATTACGCGACACGTGAGTGGCCTAAGCCCCTAGCAGCCAAGAGGCCTGCTCTGGGGTACGACATGTACTGCAGCGGGCAGGACTGGTCCTGGACCGGTGGTGTCCCGGACATCGAGGAGTCAGTCCGCATGGCCCTGCAGCCCTCCGCATCCGTGTGGCCCGGCACCAGACCTCCCCTTCCCTCCGAGCGGGACAGGATGTCTTGGAGATGCTGGATAGATGTTATGCCAATGCGGCACAGGTCGTCACATTGGCTAACAACATGATTTTCATCACGGGGGCCCTGGATAGGTCGCTCTCCTCTGGCCAGGCGCTCAGTGGAGACCTCCTGTCACAGGCGAGGACCACCTCGGCGGCGATCCTGCGCATGTGCCAGACGCTAGCCGTGGATGGTGGCCCGGACACCGAGGATTCAGTCCGCATGGCCCTGCAGCCCTCCGCATCCGTGTGGCCCGGCACCAGACCTCTCCTTCCCTACGAGCGGGACAGAATGTCTTGGCGATGCTGGATAGATGTTATGCCAATGCAGCACAGGTCCTCGCATTGACTAACAACATGGCATTCATCACGGGGGCCCTGGATATGTCGCTCTCTTCTGGCCAGGCGCTCAGTGGAGACCTCCCGTCACAGGCGAGGACCACCTCGGCGGCGACTCTGCGCATGTGCCAGATGCTAGCTGTGGATGGTGGCCGCTCCATGGCAGCAGCCCAAGTCGGGGCCAGGCACCTTAGGCTTGGGCTGGCTAATATCAGGGAGGCGGAGAGGAGGCAGCTGATGGACCTGCCCATCTCCCAGACGTCCCTTTTCGGTCCGGACAAGCAGACCCTGGTGGCTAGACTGGAGACCGCAGCCAAGGACTCGGCTAGCCTAGCCCAGCACCTAGCGCCGAGGCGCGAGGCCCGCCCACCAGCGCGGAGCCGAGACAGAGGCAGGGAGCGTTCGCCCGGGAGGTTCCCTGGCCCATATCCACGCTCCATGACCTATGGTCCCCCCTCGACGAGCCCCCCGGGTCCAGACAGACACACGGGAGGCTCGCGGGACCAACGCACCCACCGCCGACCTCCCTATGGCAGAGGAAGAATGGGAAGAATTCTTTCAATAAAAGCCGACCGGCATTTCATCAGTACTCGCTGCCTGAGTCTCATTTGGGGGTATGTAACATGTCAAATGATCTGAATTCTGATTGTGTTACTTATCGAGCACATAACGTGGCTTCGCTAGGCCTGCAGCCCCCAGAGAAAGGGTGTGCAGTGCGCTACGCGGGCCACGAGCTCCGATTCACGGGTTCATGCTTTGCCCTCCCGGAGAGAGGGCAGGCGGAGGGATCTGGTGAGTAATAATGTGTGTGCTTCGGCCGAACGCGTGTTAGCATCTCTGAGCTACAAGGCTAACACGGGGTTTCCCACTCCAGGGGCTCGCCCCCCCTCCATGAGACAAGAGCCAGGGGGGGGCACAGCAGCCGAGTCACGTGTGGTGAGCAGTCCCGTACTTATGACGTCGGGCCTGCAGAACACGTGACCGCCCCCGGCGCTCACGGTGTGACGCAGGGGGCCCCCCCCGGCCCTTTCGGCCACCCCCCCTCCCTGCTAGGAACACCAGGAGAGGGCATGATCAGCGCATGATCTATCTCGGCCTGCAGCTAGACTCTGTGACATTCCGTGCTGCATTGTCCGTGGACAGACGGATGAACACTACCAGTCTACCCAGGGAGGTTCTGGCGGGCCCCAGAGTCCCCCGCTCGGCGCCTCAGGTCCCTGCTGGGAATGATGGCGGCGGCTCATGCTGTGGTGCGGCTAGGCTTTCTCCACATGAGGAATTTTCAGAGGTGGTTCTCACGCCTCAGGCTTCACCCCTCCCGGGACGGGGGGAGGCTGATCTGGGTTCCCCAAGTGGCAGCATCGAACATCAGGTTCTGGCTCACTCCGGGTCTATTGCGGGACGGAGTGACTCTGGCCTGCGCCGTGTCTCACGTGGAGGTGTTCACGGACGCGTCGCTCGAAGGATGGGGCGGGGTCCTCGGCCAGAGTTCTGTAGGAGGCTGCTGGTCGGACTCAGCCCGTCACATCAACCTGCTGGAGATGGAGGCAGTGCACAGGGTACTGCTGCACTTTGCTCCTCAGCTGCAGGGGAGACACGTGATGGTGCGCTCAGACAACACCACAGTGGTCTCCTATCTGAACAGGCAGGGGGGCACCAGGTCCCCCGCTCTCCATCGCATGGCGACGGTGACGCTGCTGTGGGCGGCGCTTCACCTCCTGTCCTCAGGGCGCGCCACGTCCCGGGGGTCCGGAACGTGGGGGCCGACAGGATGTCCAGGGGGGGGCCCACTCCAGGACGAGTGGGGCCTGGCCCCACGGGTAGCTGCGGATATCTGGCGGAGGTTCGGCCGTCCAGTGGTCGACCTTTTCGCCAGTGCAGGAAACGCACAGTGCCCGTCCTGGTTCGCCTCAAGGGCCGCGGACGAGCCGCCCTTAGGCGTGGACGCTCTGGCTCATTACCCCTGGCCAGGGGGCCTGCTGTACGCTTTTCCCACCAGTGCGTCTCCTGCCGGTCCTGCTGCGGAGGATCGAACAGGAGAGGAGGTCGGTGATCCTGGTGGCGCCGGACAGTCCGCATGCCCGGTGGTTCCCCTTCCTGAGGGGCATGGCGGTGATGGAGCCCTGGGCCCTCCTGGACGAGCCGGGGGCTCTAGTCCAGGGGGGAGGAGCCCTGTTTTCACGCCCGATAATCGGCCGCAGGCTCTGGGTTTGGAGGCTGAGAGGCGGAACCTCGTAGGCCTGGGTCTTCCCTCTGCGGTGGGGGAGACCACTCAGGGGGCGAGGGCGCCGTCCACTGTGAGGGCCTACGCCACGAGGTGGAGGCTCTTCAGCGACTGGTGCGGTTTTTCGTTCCTGGGATCCCAGGCGTTGCCCGCTGGAGGGGGTCCTGGGATTCCTACAGGAGCTCTTTGACAAGGGGAGGGCTGTCGCCACCTTGGCGGTGTTCGCGGCAGCCATTACTTCGGGTCACGACGGATTCGGGGGGTTCACAGCCCGCTCTCATCCGTTGGTTAAACGTTTTCTGCGGGGGGCACGCAGGAGGAGGCCCCCGCTCCAGAGAACGCCCCCGGTTTGGGACCTCAGGGTGGTCCTTAGGGGGCTGTCGGGTCCGCCTTTTGAACCGGCGGCGGAGGCGAGTCCCGAGTGTGTCGCTTTAAGACAGCCCTCTTGTTGGCGTTGGCGTTGGCGTCTGCTAAGAGGGCGGGCGACTTGTGTGCGCTCTCTGTCCATGCGTCTTGCCTGTCCTTTGGAGAGGGCGACGGCATGGTGGTATGGTGGCCCAATCCGGCTTTTCTCCCCAAGGTCATCACGTCGGCCTTAGGTCGAGAGTCATCAGGATTAGGGCTTTCTATCCGCCACCGCATGCCTCCCCCGAGGAGGAGCGGTGGCACCTTCTGTGTCCTGTCAGAATGCTGAGGCATTACCTGGCCATAACGTCGTCATTCAGGTTGGGTGGTCAGCTGTTTGTGTGTCTGGGCCCCAAGAACAGGGGCGCCCCGCTGTCGGCTCAGCGGCTGGCGCACTGGGTCGCCACGGCTGTGCGGCGGGCGTATCAGACGCAGGGTCTGGCCCTCCCGGTGGGCTTCAGGTCGCATTCCACGCGTGGGATGGCGGCCTCTACGGCCCTTCTCAGGGGGGTGTCGGTCGAGGACGACTGCCGTGCGGCTTCTTGGGCGTCGTCCTCCTCTTTCGTCCGGTCTTATCTTTTGGATGTGTCGGACCGGTCGGTGGCCCATTCCGTGCTGAGTGCAGCGGACTGAGTTAGACCGTTAGGTCCCTCCTCTGAGGGGGCCTTCGGTTTACTTTCCGCCCTGGTTCAGGAGCTCTTGGGAGAGGCATCCTACAGGTGCGGTACATATATGTGTGTTTGGTCGGTCAGGTAGTCCACGTCAGGAGCCCTTGGGAGAGGCGTCCTGTGACTACGGATGACCTACATCTGTGTTACGTGGGGGTATCCTTGGTAGGAGTGGCCCTGTAACACGCATTGTTTCTTCTGCCCTGAGTCCCCTCACTGTGTGAGGGTCTTGCTCGGGCGGAGCTCCAATCACCCTTCGCTGGCCTGCTGGGAGTACATGTTCCTAGGCCTCCGCGTTGTGTCCCACTAGCGAAGTCCTAAGGGACGTAGCACCATGACGTAGAATTAATAGTTACCTAATGTAACTTAAGTTCTACGAATAGGTGCGTAGTCCCTTAGCTACGAGCCCATCAGGCCAGCCCGGCTTGGCAGAGTTCAAGAGGGGGTGCGGCCTTGTGCAGGGGCATTTATAGAGGAGGGTGGCTGGTGATTGGAGCAAATTATTTTGATCTCTCTGGCGTGTGACCTGGGGGTCACGAGTGATATCCCACTAGCGAAGTCCTAAGGGACTACGCACCTATTCGTAGAACTTAAGTTACATTAGGTAACTATTAAATCCGAGTCTGAATGTGGACTTCCTCACATAACCACAGTAGGAGATTAATAAAGACAAGAGCATTCCTAAAATCTGACTAAACCAGTGAAGCAACATAGCCATGCGGGCTCTCCCTCTCTTCTTCCTCATGTGATTGGCGCAGAGACAAGAAACAATAATACAATAAAAATAGAGATTTATTTTAACTCACCAAAATTGTACATCCTACTCCAAAAATAAAACACACGACGAATCCGCGGATCCGTGTGGGCCAGCTCAGTGTGGAGGCTTCGTTTACCGTCTGTGAGAAAAAAAAAAGTAGAAATGAGCAGTTTGTTAGTCTCTTGTTTGACAGCAGCAGGTGGAAGGTTGGCTTAGCTGTTTACCTCCAAAACGGTGCGATCCTCTCTGCGTGACTCCTCTCCACTCAACACAGACTTTAGTTTGTCCATGGTTCAAATAATTAATTGTATTTTATTAGATTAGTGGCTAAATATGCGGCTTTCTTCTGCCGCGGCCACAGGTGACTCAGGGAACGTAACCATACAACGTAACGCACCTGACGTGAACAAAGAGAGCGAAGAAAGACACCTGCCGCAAAGATCGTGTCTGTGTGTAGAGAGACCTCACTCTGTCCAAGCGCTACAGTTTTTGAATAAATACTAGGACTCCCAGATTTCTGCAAAAACAAGAACCGGATCACTCTCTTTGACGTTTCATTTTAGAAGTATTATTCTCCGCTTTGTGACTTTTTATATTTATATAATATTTCATAACATATATCATTATGAAACTATCTTGGTCCTGAACTGGTCCTGGACTGGTCTGGTCCAGTCTTAATGCATCTTTGTCAAAAAACAGAACCCTTTTCTTGAGTCAGAAACATCAGGATAATATATAAGGCCTTTATTCAAACTAATACAATTGTCCATATTCCAATGCAACACCTGAGAATACATGGTCAGAAATAAATCATATTAAACAGTCTTTAGACTGAGGGACAGCTGCCTCCGCGACCCGGCAACAGAGAAAGCAGAAGAAAATTGATTGTCTTCACATAATTTTTTCAGCTGTAGGAAATTACACCAGATTAAAGTGTCACACTTGACTTTAAAAAAAAAAAGAAAAATAATACATAAATTAAAAGAGTATGTATTTGACTTAAAGTAAAGCAAGAACCAACTCTTGTCTCATTTGCACAAACGTTATGGAATGATAATACATTTGGCACTCCCAAACAACGGACACTGGATTTGTATTTTTATGGCTCTCCAGAGTTTTCTCACATTTACCCTTTGTGTCCTGAGTGGTTCTGATGCAGGAGACAGTGGTCTCTGCTCCTTATAAATCAATGTATCTGTGCGTTTGTTATTATTGCATTTCCTGACTTTGAACTGTTTGATTCTCTGATGTGTTGTCAGTGAATCTACAACTCCTCTGAAATTACTGCTTAGGGCAATACACAAATCAATAGAATTGAAATGTTCAAACTTCAACTTTTTGTCAGAAACAGATGCACAACTACTGCATAAATATCTTCTACAATGTTCCGTCCAAGAAAAGTAAAAAGGGAAAAAGTTACACCTCACACAACATTTTTAAAAGGCACTGGACGTGATCAGAAATATATGGTGTGGAAATGTTGGTGCAAGAGACAAACGTAAATCAGACACAAATATATTCTGAGTTCGTTTTAGCATCAGGTGTTTTCCCCACGTAGATAAAACCTCAGAAAGCTTCGTCCTCAGATTCCTGATCCCTGGTTTTGGAGAGAAGTCCCATCTCCATCGGCGGCGTCCTCTTTAGTCTGGCCTGAACCACCCTGGGGAAAAAAGAAAAATAAAACATTCTTACTGCATGTTTAAAAAAAAGTAGGTTAAAAATGTACCTATTTTTGTGGCATACAGCAGCAAACTGTAAATGGTGATGAAGAAACCTTACTCAAAAACGTATTTCTGTAATTTTATTGAGTAACATTGTTTTCTATCAGATTCTTACAAATTATACTTAGTACCATTAAAAAGCACCTTTCAAACTCACAAAGCACTTTACAGTTGTTCAGGGCATGTGTCCTCTCCTTCCACAGAAACCATGGTGCTCATACCAGCTGACAATGCCATAGACCATGTGTGTGTACCATGAAGCCCTTACCAGTTAACTATGCCATAGATCATTCCAGTCCAGAGCAGAGAAACCATCAGGTGCCAGGAGAAGCACATGACCACAAACATCACAGAGCTGTGGTCGTCCTGGTCCCAGTGAGGGCCCCACGGGGGGTACAGCACCGACCCGATCTGTAGACAAACAAAGGTACAGCACTGACCCAATCTGTGGACAAACACAGGTACAGCACTGACTCGACCTGAGAAACACAGGTACAGCACTGACCTGACCTGACCTGAGAAACACAGGTACAGCACTGACCTGACCTGAGAAACACAGGTACAGCACTGACTCGACCTGACCTGAGAAACACAGGTACAGCACTGACCTGACCTGAGAAACACAGGTACAGCACTGACTCGACCTGAGAAACAAAAGTACACAACTGACCCGACCTGTGGGTACAGTGTCCTCTAACAAGGCAACATCTGTGCTCTGGATTTAAGACCCTGTGCTCCGGATTTAGGCCCTGTGCTCCAGGTTTAATGGTCTCATTGTGGGACAAACTTAGTGATTGTAGGATAAAGACTAATACTGCCGGAAATCTTTTGTTTTTGTTTTAAGAGGAGGAGAGACTTTAAGAAAAACAGATAAACAGCAGAGAATAGCATAGAAATTCAACTGTTACTATGGTAACAGAGTTCAAGTAAGTAGTTCTGAACTCAGTCGAAAGCACATTCTCTGAAAAGAATGTTATTGTTCTCCATTTTCTGTAAATGTAGGAGAGTTTGAGGAGTTACTCAGATTTCCTTCGTTTTGATGACTTTTCTGGAGGCTCTGGTCTGGTATTTTGGCCTTGACCTTTAACCCCAGAACTGTCACCAGAGGGCGTCCCTGAGCAGAGTCATCTGTTGGTCTGGACTTGTCCCTCGGGAGGAGACCAGGGACAGACCCAGGACACAGGGCTCTCAGCTGGGAACGCCTCAGGATTCCCCCAGATGATCTGGAGGAGTGTCTCTGCTCAGACTGCTGCCTCTGTGACCCGGCAACAGATAAAGTGGAGGACATGGATGGATAGTAACTACCTCTACAGATTACAGTTTAGATGTTTAGATGTTTCAGGTGTTTAGAGGTTTCAGATCAGATGTTTCAGGTACCTGCCAGAACCACGATCCCTGCAAGACGGTCAGAGCCGATCGCATCAGTTCCAGAATCACGTTTCCTCGATGAAAAACCTCCAGAAAAGCGACAAGAGCCTGAGCGAAGACGGGGTAAAGCAGCAGCTGGTGCAGCGTCACGTCCAGGAGCGACCTGCCGTGAAGGTGGTACAGGAACAAGAAGCCTACAGGGACAGGAGAGTGAGAAGCCTACAGGGACAGGAGAGTGAGAAGCATACAGGGACAGGAGCGTGAGAAGCCTACAGGGACAGGAGAGTGAGAAGCCTACAGGGACAAGAGAGTGAGAAGCCTACAGGGACAGGAGAGTGAGAAGCATACAGGGACAGGAGCGTGAGAAGCCTACAGGGACAGGAGAGTGAGAAGCCTACAGGGACAGGAGAGTGAGGAGCCTACAGGGACAGGAGAGTGAGAAGCCTACAGGGACAGGAGAGTGAGAAGCCTACAGGGACAGGAGAGTGAGAAGCCTACAGGGACAAGAGAGTGAGAAGCATACAGGGACAGGAGCGTGAGAAGCCTACAGGGACAGGAGAGTGAGAAGCCTACAGGGACAGGAGAGTGAGAAGCCTACAGGGACAGGAGAGTGAGAAGCCTACAGGGACAGGAGAGTGAGAAGCCTACAGGGACAAGAGAGTGAGAAGCCTACAGGGACAGGAGAGTGAGAAGCATACAGGGACAAGGGAGTGAGAAGCCTACAGGGACAGGAGAGTGAGAAGCCTACAGGGACAGGAGAGTGAGAAGCCTACAGGGACAGGAGAGTGAGAAGCCTACAGGGACAGGAGAGTGAGAAGCCTACAGAGACAGGAGAGTGAGAAGCCTACAGGGACAGGGAAACATCAGGACCTGTTTCAGATAAAGCTGGGGAACCTAACTTTCAAATTAAAGTAAGAAAAATACTTAATGGTAAAACACAACTGTTTCAAATTACAAGCATTGTGTGATTACCACAAGAAATTATATTAAATAATAAACTAAACTAAAGCTCTATTATCACTGGATCAGTCTGACCTGTGACCTTTAGTGATTCGTCATTTGTAACGTAAATGTCAGACAAAGTTTCCGCTTTCTGTGTTGTCTGTCAACATTATTTGATATCTATGGAGGCTGCGGTAGACATTTTGATTCACAGTTTTGAAGCTTTGTAGCAGCAAACTATAATAAGACCCCATATCACAGCCTGGAGACATTTTAAATATCCTGACTAAAACTAGCATATACAGTATGCGGGTGTGTCATCAGTCACTTGAACTATACCAGAGGTCCCCAGGTACTGGTACTGTTAGAATATAAGTGGTTTTCCCAGTGTGGTGTTTGTGTTGTACCTTCGTTAAAGAAAGCCAGACAGAGAACGAGTCTATCCAGAGGGAGGGGGGCGGCTGCGCTGCTGTGAACAATCAGCGAAACAGCCGCCGCAAAACCGAAGAACAGGTACATGGTGCAGTGTTGCCAGTTCATCAGGTCCTTCCAGTGTCTCTCTGCGTCGTACAGCTGCAACTGGGGACCGCTGTTAGCAAACTGCTCTGCTACCATCCCTGCGGAAACAACATAATATGAACCAACTCTGAGGAGCACAGGGACAGGCCTCCAGCTGGTCCCAGAGTAAGGACTAAACCTGTGGAGGCAGCGTTTCAGATTTATGCAGCTAAAACCTGGAATAGTCTTCCTGAAAAAGCGAGACATGCTTCTTTTCTGACAATGTTAAAATCCAGGTTAAAAACAGTTTCTGCAACAACTGATGGATTTTATCTTTACTCTTTTTAGTGTTCTGTGATTAGCTTTGTGTGATTGTATCTTGTTTTGTTCAGCACTTTGAGTTGCCTTGTGTATATGCTATGCTATGTATATCCTTGCCTTTGGACACACGCTGGTACATGTGCTATTGGTGATGGTTGTGCGCCTCCTGGTGGTACTCCAACTCCTCTGCAGTTTAAATATTGTTTCTCCATTTTCCACACATTTTATCTCACCTACGACAGATAGGAAGAGGATGACAGAGCTCTCGATTATCTCCAGGCGCCTCTGGGTCACTCTGGACGGGAGGCGGGTGGATCCTGAACTTTTGTTCTTCCGGGTCAAATGCCAAAGTGAGGACTTGACCCCCCACCACAGTCCCACACACAGGAAGAAACTCCCGGGGAGCGCATGGCCAGGAAAGCTCCCCATTGGTCAGAGAGTGCTCCTGAAATGTACATCAGTATAAAACATTTGTATCTGTCTTGGAATGGCTTCAATGTTATTCTCGGCAGGCATGTCAAACTCAGGCCCACGGGCCAAACCCTGCTCACAGGACTTTTGTGTGTGGGACATAAATGTCCCATGATTTTCTGTTGTTATTATACCTGTGCAGCATTGACGATAATGTGCGACTATGAGATGCCTCATCAAGAAAACAACCATATAATTTAAACCAACACAAGATGAGACGAATGAGAAACCTTGTTGTGGCTGCAGGTGCAGTGGTGTCCAGAGAGAAGAGCAGGGGAGAAAGAGCACAGCCCTGTGGAGAACCTGTGTTGTCATCTGTTAATGTTTATGAAATTATGACTAAATCAAATTGTTTAAAGAAATGTATTTGATTAGGGCAGTATTATTCAAAATGGAAATCTTGCAGACAGTTCCTCAGTATTGGTTTTTTATTAGAGATTCTATGGCAAATATATCGGTAAGGATATATAATCAATGTATACATTTGTTGATATTCCCAGGGAATATACACTGCAAAAAATGATAAAATATGAGGAAATAACTGCTTCAATTGAGAAGTTTTTATCTTAATCTGAGCAAATTCTGACTCAAACAAGATTCTCCAAAGGGACAAAGACATTTAGTCTTGTTTCAAGAACTGTTGCTTTATTTCCTCATTCCAAGAGAGACAATTCTTGTATCTTTTTTTAAAAAAACAACAAGATTATTTTACTTTGTCCCATGGGTAAATCTTGTTTTAAGGCAGTCAGAATGTGCTGTGACAAAGTCTGAGCCGGATTTTTCCCAGTGCCTGAGTCTGACCTCCTGTTTTAATTCATTTCTATAAATATACACTTTGTTCTGCTGTGTGTCCTGTAGTAAACAAACATCAGACAGATGTGACTCAGGTCTTTGTGTCCTGTGTTACACAAACATCTGGATCAGACAGAGTCTTTGTGCTGCAGGACAGTGATGAGTGTCATCGAGGCCAATAATAAAACATCCTCAATCTCATCTGTGGCCTCTTCATGTGAAACACAACACTGGGTTTCCATGGAGACGTCTCCGAAGGACCACTGCAGATGCTCTCAAACACACAACACACAAACACACAACATCAACATGTGTGTGCGCCACATGTAACACACACTTGACATTTCCCTGTGATGTCACCAATGTAGCAGCTAGCCAACCTCACCACATCATCAAACTGTAAAGGTTTCAAACTAAAAGAAGGAACACTTATATTAGAGAATAGACTTTAAAACAGCACAAGGACTGGCCTCCTGCTGGGACTCTGAGGAGCACAGGGAATGGCCTCCTGCTGGGACTCTGAGGAGCACAGGGAATGGCCTCCTGCTGGGACTCTGAGGAGCACAGGGAATGGCCTCCTGCTGGGACTCTGAGGAGCACAGGGAATGGCCTCCTGCTGGGACTCTGAGGAGCACAGGGAATGGCCTCCTGCTGTCAAATCTGGATCGGTCTTCCTGAAAATGTGAGACTTCTTCCCTGACAATGTTCAAATCCAGGTTAGAAACAACTGAGGGATTATATCTTTACACTTGAATGTATATTAAAAAAAAGAGAAGGAGGCACTCTGAAAACTGTGTTTTTAATAGAGTTGATTGAACCAAAGAGTTTTGACATAATGAGTCTTCGTCAGGACAGTGAGTGTCGCAGCTGACACTGTGTTAATCAAAGACGTCATGGGAACACCACGTGACCACACTATATTTACAAGATGTATTTACCTAAAAAGGCAATCGAGCAAGAAGCTTATGTATGTATGATAAAATACCCTCCTAAAAAAAAAACTGTTATGCATAGATGAGACTGTGACCCCCCCCCCCCCCCCCCCCCCCCCCATATGTATCAAAGGTATAATAAACAGCAAACAAGTACAAAGGAGTTTCAATGTAGTGAAGATGTGGGTAAAAAGGATGTGGCGAGGAGCAAGAATGGAAAAAGTCCACCTCTTTTTAATGTATGATTATTTCTATAATTTATTGTTAAGCACTTACAAATATCTGTTCCTGTCTATAGGTTTTTGGTTCTCATGAAAATTACTATGATTAAAGGTACACTGTAGTTTTTATTCTCATCTAGTGTTGAGATCATCGATTGCAGTCTACTTCTACCACCAGCACTATACGGAAGCCTTCGAGGACAATATGTTGTCTTTGACAGTGGTCCCCAACCTCTGGTCAATCACCGGGCCGCAAAGGAAAGAATCCTTTAGTTTGATAACTATAACCATCATACACTAAAATGTGCATGATTGAGGCGGACGTGTAAACAGAGTGTGTATATATCGGGGGGTGCCAGTCAGAGCTGCCTCATTAAGCCGCGTTCAGACCGCATACGCTCAAACGCTGAAGCCCCGCTCACCAGACGCGCATTCTCTAGTTTTCAGACGTAGGGGTCTTCACACCAGAACGTCCTGGCCAGCACCAGAAGTGCCGGAAGTAGCCGGCCGGCTCTGATGCTAACAGAGTTATGCTAGCGGCTTCTCGTGTAAAGATCTTCTCCAATAATGCAGCTTGGCAGGGTGTCTTTGTTCAGAGACCTTCTACGGACTTTATATAACAGTAGTATGTGTTCACGGAGGTGCGCAATACGTTTATTTTATTATTAAACGGTACTTCCGCATCGGCGAACACACTCGAAGCAGTTGCATAAAGTCACGGGAGCATGAAAACGCATATATTTACAAGCACTATGTCCCCCATTGTCAACCCTGGTTTAGTCCGGGTTTAGTCCTGATGTAGCTCCTGTTTTGGCTGTTAACAGTATGTTCAGTCTGCTCGCTCAGACCACCAATGTCCCCGTGACCACTTTGCGGCTCTCTGATTGGTCGCTGCACGAACGTCCCGAGTAGGGTTTAATCCCGAGACACGGGATTCCCGGGAAATCTGATCAAAACTATTTCCCGATTCCCGGGAAATGTTATGACGGGAACCGGGAAATTAAAGTAAAAAAAAAAATCCAGTGCGCTCCAATTATAGAGCACGTTTATTGTTGTTCAAAGTTGAAACATATTTCATTTACAATCAACATGTCTACAGCTGAGAGGATGGCTCATAAATTGTGTTTTTGACAACAAATATGGGTCTTAATCACGCTAAACCACGACTTGTAATGAGGCCAGCCTCAGGGTACGGGGCACATGAGAGCCCAGAATTTGGCTACGTCCAATTCTATCAGAAAGCTCCTTTCTTTTTTTTCCATCTGCTAAGGGCAGCAACAGGTTTGGCTAACATACATATAACACATTTTAAGATCATATAAAATGCATTTAGGGTAATGGACTGCTTCCAGTGACGATGCGCCCGAGAGCCGGCTGCAGCGAACACACGGAGGAGTTTATGGAGGTGGCACCCGTTTTGTTTTACGCTTTAAAACTCTTTGGGCTTATTTCCAAATGGGGGATTACATATCTGCGCTCAAACTATTATCTGGACTTAAACATGAAACTGGTCTGAACTGAAGTGGTCTGTGCTGTTCATTAATAACTAAGGTAAGACCCATAACACAATTGGAAATGTGCCTTTTACGAACTTTTGCGTTTTGTTTGAGCAAACAATGCGGGCCATGGAAAACATTCTACTGTAGCCAAACTAATTATGAATAAGCCGCTTTGTAGGTTCTGTTGATTTTTATGATATATGTTCATCTGATTGGGCTGAAGTCAGTGCCTCCAAACCACACCGCACGTCACTGGTCGACAAGTGGATTGTGCAGACATTTAGAATCTCATAATAGTGAAATTCCTGAAGAAAGCCCATCAACAAAACGTCTGAAAACGCTATGGCTACTTTAGCAAAGCTAGTCGCTTGGTGAAACACTAGTGGAGACGGCAGCTTTTGTTGGATTATATATTTGAGTGATATCATACATTACTTGGGCTAAAAACAACAACTACAAACAACAGCTATTTCCCGGGAATTCCCGGGAACGGCGTCGTCTTTTCCCGGGATTTGATATGGCTCATTTTCGGGAAAAATATTAAACCCTAGTCCCGAGGAAAGGTTGAGCAAAGTTTATCTCCTGTGGGCTCCTGCTCCTCCCCTTTGACTTTCCCGCGCAGTCCGTGCGTCTCTACTGTGCGTGCGTGTCGAGAGGTCCATGCGTTTTGACGCTCGAACGCGCATCACCATTGACTTTGCATTGAAAGCAGACGCAACGCATGATCCGGTCTGAACGCGGCATTACACATAGCACCAGCCCCTAACTGATCCTCCTGCAGGTGGTGAGTCCACAGGGGCCTTGATCTTCCAGCAGGGGCTTCAGGCAAAGTGGGGTTTGCCTGAAGTGTCTGGCCCAAGGGCACAACGACAGCAGCCATCAGTCGGAGTCATGAAGTAGAAGACCTCGTGAGTATATATATACACACACACCTTTCGCCCTCCGCGGGCAGTTATCCCTCTCTAAGCTTGGGTCCTCTGGGAGCTTGAGGGTTCTGTGCAGTATCTTTGCTGTTCCTAGAACTGCACATTTCTGGACCGAGATTTCCGAGGTTGTTCCAGGGATCCGCTGTAACCACTCCTCCAGCTTCGGGGTCACTGCCCTGAGTGCACCGATCACCGTATATATATATTATATTATTTTACCATAATACTATCTTACTATATTTCTCTCATGTCAGAGTTTAGAATTCGTTTTTTTCTTAGATGAAGCGTCTCATCTCAGAGAAGCCACATTCAGCCACATTTAGACAGTGGTCTCTGTCCCTTATGGACCAATGGCTCTGTGTTTGTTATCATTGAATTTTCTGTGTTTATGATCTGTGTTGCATACACAGATAACTACTGTTATGATTTAGGGCTATAAAAAAATACATTGAATTGAAATGAATTGAATTGCCTATTACTATCAATGCTGCAAACGAAATAGAAAATCATGAGACATTGATGAGCCACCCACAACGGTTCTGCGGGCAGGTTTGGGCCCGCGGGCCTGAGTTTGACATGCTTCATTTG